TCTCAACAAGGACCACCCGCAGCCACAACCAGGCTTGTTTGGCAGGTTAGCAGGAGGGCTGTATGGTGTCACCAAAGGGGCTGTCGGAGCCACGGTTGGAGGCATGGCCTGGGTCGGAGGAAAGAGTTTGGACCTGACTAAAACTGCAGTGACGTCGGTTGCCGCGGTGCCAGGCATGGGTGTGGGCCTGGTCAAAGGCGGAGTGTGCGCTGTAGCTGGAGGAGTGACAGCTGTGGGCTCAGCAGTGGTCAGCAAAGTTCCCATTGGAGGAGGAGGAAAAAAGAAGGACAAGTCTGACTGACGGGTAATGACGACGTGGATGAACGAATCAGTTAGTGATAATAAAGACCAACACAGGACTCACAATATCAGTGAAGGTTTGGTGAGGGGTGAATACTTTTTTTTTTTTTTTTGGTCATTACATTAGAAGGTGTGAGTGTGTTAAATGTATGTTTGCTGTTAGTCCCTTACATATTCCTTTTATAGTGTAAGGCCAAGCAATGCAAGACACAATAAAATGTCTGTTGAAATAATTCCAGCAAAAGCAAAATGTTATGAGTGTAAACATACTCAAGAAAATTCTGCATGTCTTTTTTTCTTGTCTTGTTTTTTTTTTTTCTTAGGTTTACGACAAATACTGTTATGTTACCTTTTGCAAGACAATCAAAGATCTGTCCTCTGCCGAGCATTCTTTTGGGAGAGCACAGTATTATGGTTTCTGCATTCTCCTTTGGGTTCTTTTTTTGTTTATTTTAAGCTGGTGTTTTTGTCCTAATGGCCCATCCTTATATATAACACATGAAAAGCTATTTTGATGAGGTGAACTATTTTTACAGTTTAATAAATGAACCTATTGAACTGACTGTTGCATGAACTTTAAAAACTTGACACTTTCTTTACTGTGACATGAATCCTCTTTGCATCATTGTTCTATCTTCTGAATAAGAAGAAGAAAAATCTGTTACAGTGCAACTCCGTTAAGATTTAGATACTTTTATTTCATTACAGTGCATTTTTCGAATTTCAAAAACCTGCAGATGATTAGATTTGATTATGTGCATTTAATAAAGATTTTTATACTACTTTTTAACTTTCAAAAGCCTTGTGCTGTGCTTAAAATAGGTTTTGAAGCTGTCAAAACAGTGTTGTAGAATGTTGCAATCCAATAATGGTTATATACAAAGATGTTTGAATAAAGATGTGTAAAAATGCTTGAATGGTTCATGGGTTTTTTATTTTAAGTATAAGCACATTTACCGGTGTATGACACATGGGACAAATAGTTATTCATATTGTGTTAAAGCCAGGGTTAATTTTTTATGACCACTATAGGAATAAGGTTAACCTTATGGAAATGACAGCTGAAATGAGTTGTCTACTGAGGGCAGGTCATAAAAGAACATTTTGACATTTCAGTTTGTTTAGTAATCAGAACACTTGACAGGTCAGTGTGTACCTTTATTGCACAATTTCAAACCAATGGATTATAAATCAACTCATCAAAAACATTGCACTAATTTGACCTAATTTCTAATTTCTTCTAAGTATAAAGCAATGCAGTTTTTCCAGTAGTTTATTAAATGCAATATATGTCCTAGAACTATTTATCACACATATTTGTATACAGCCAGTGAGTGATAACCATGACCTGACTCATCAACCTTGTAGATGAGTATGTTGAGATATGTGTGTATTTTCACTTTCTACTGATCAGGTTTGCTGATCAATATTGGTCCAACAGAAACCACTGCTCTTGGCTCAGGATTTTTTGTGACCATAGCACTGACATCTCTCCCTGTAAACAAATACAAATGTGAGAGGATATATCTAAACATTGTTCAGATCATTATACTGCAATATTGTTTACTTTGTCTGTAGCAGGATGGTTCACAGTTGTGTCCTGGTTTGGCATCACACACATCCGTACTGCAGTGAATGTATATCTGAAAGAAAATAGTGTTTGTCAAGCAAGGCTACACACAGATAATATGTTATTGTAATGTCTAGGCCAATGTGTTACCTGTTGTGTGAGAGGAGATAATGAGTTGGTATCAACAAAGGTGAACATTTTGAAAAAGAATCGTCTGTAGTGGGATGGGTAATCCAGTCCAGAGGAGGGTCCAATGGGAACTATACTAGATAGGTAGCGATCATCTTTGTATGGACACCTTAATCAAAATGTCAAATTGTCAGCATGCTATATTATTATTATATAATGTACTTAGCAACAGAAATTATGTGGACATTTTACCCATCTATCAAGATGTCCCACTGTGGCAGAGTGTGAGGGTTAGGGCTGGTTGTTACCCAACATCGACCAAGCTGCAGCACAAGTAAAGGATCTGTCTTATCCATTAGCTGAACTTCTACATACACTGGGTCTCTCAGTACTTTAGTTACTGGATATTCAGTGTAATATGAAGTGTAGGCTGCATCCACTGAAAAAACAACAACATATGATTATGATATACATACATTTAAAAATATTATAATTCAACCCAGATGACATTTACCCTCATAGCAACCCTTTGTTTGGCATCGTCCATTAGCCAGCCTGAGTTGTACATTTATTGGTCCTATAGCAGCAACCGAGTGTATGGGGTTGTCTACTTTTCCGACCTCCACAATCATTGTTTCAACAGCAGAGCCAGTGTACTTACACTGAATGAGCAATCTGAGAGAAAATGAGGACATATAACATACAGAATTATAATCCATCAATGTAAAGTTGTATTGTCCTTCCTTACTCAAACTGACTATCCCTGGTAATGGAACCATAAGGTCCCAGACCAACTTCATATGAGCTCGACAGTCTGTTCTCATATACTATGGCATCAGAATCCTCCTAAAAATGCACACAATCAATGTTTAATATCAGCAGGCACAACTGGGACGGTTTGAAAAGGAGAGTTCTTACCATGACTTGAGAACCACATTTAGTCACAGGAAACTGATAGATCACAAACTGAGAATTGGAATCAGCATAAGAACAGCCCTGGTCAGTCCCCAGAACTGAGATGGATGGTAAGTCGATTCTTGGAATGGTAGAATCTTTGCACACTACAACAATGAACTGGCCATCTTTGGTGCACTGAACAGTCACTGGGGAATTAAAAAGATCAATTCATTTTCTGCAATTACATAAAATGTGTAAAACAAATAAACAGAAAAAATGAAAAATCCCTCACCTGCCTTCCCAAAGAAACAACTCTGACCATCAAAACAGCAATTGATGGCTTCACATTCATTGGCTGATATATTTGCAGCCCCACAGGGTACACGTACCCCTGCAGCAACATCACAGTTCAAGGTAGATGGATCCATTGGCTTCTTTTGACCTTGTAGTTGTCCAAAACTTCCAGTGTTTTCCACTGGCATCCATTGGGCCCCTGGCTGGGATGTTTGAGGATTGACAGGTTGTTTTCCTGAACTTGTCCACTGGCTTTCTGTTTGTGAAGGTAGAGGATTTGCCGGTTTTCCTCCTGTACTAACCCACTGGTTACCCAATTGTGACTGACTTCCAGTTTGTGAGGGTGGAGGATTTGCAGGTTTGCTTCCTGAATCAACCCACTGTTTACCTGATTGTGAAGGTAGGGGATCGGCTGGTTGGGTACCTGAACTGAACCACTGACTTCCTGTTTGCGAAGCCAAAGGATTTGTTGGTTTTCCTCCTGTACTAACCCACTGGTTACCTGATTGTGACTGACTTCCAGTTTGTGAGGGTGGAGGATTTGCAGGTTTGCTTCCTGAATCAACCCACTGTTTACCTGATTGTGAAGGTGGGGGATCAGCTGGTTGGGTACCTGAACTGAACCACTGACTTCCTGTTTGTGAAGCCAAAGGATTTGTTGGTTTTCCTCCTGTACTAACCCACTGGTTGCCTGATTGTGACTGACGTCCAGTTTGTGAGGGTGGAGGATTTGCAGGTTTGCTTCCTGAATCAACCCACTGGTTACCTGATTGTGAAGGTAGGGGATCAGCTGGTTGGGTACCTGAACTGAACCACTGATTTCCTGTTTGCGAAGCCAAAGGATTTGTTGGTTTTCCTCCTGTACTAACCCACTGGTTACCTGATTGTGACTGACTTCCAGTTTGTGAGGGTGGAGGATTTGCAGGTTTGCTTCCTGAATCAACCCACTGTTTACCTGATTGTGAAGGTGGGGGATCAGCTGGTTGGGTACCTGAACTGAACCACTGACTTCCTGTTTGCGAAGCCAAAGGATTTGTTGGTTTTCCTCCTGTACTAACCCACTGGTTGCCTGATTGTGACTGACTTCCAGTTTGTGAGGGTGGAGGACTTGCAGGTTTGCTTCCTGAATCAACCCACTGTTTACCTGATTGTGAAGGTGGGGGATCAGCTGGTTGGGTACCTGAACTGAACCACTGATTTCCTGTTTGCAAAGCCAAAGGATTTGTTGGTTTTCCTCCTGTACTAACCCACTGGTTGCCTGATTGTGACTGACTTCCAGTTTGTGAGGGTGGAGGATTTGCAGGTTTGCTTCCTGAATCAACCCACTGTTTACCTGATTGTGAAGGTAGGGGATCGGCTGGTTGGGTACCTGAACTTAACCACTGACTTCCTGTTTGCGAAGCCAAAAGATTTGTTGGTTTTCCTCCTGTACTAACCCACTGGTTACCTGATTGTGACTGACTTCCAGTGTGTGAGGGTGGAGGATTTGCAGGTTTGCTTCCTGAATCAACCCAGTGTTTACCTGATTGTGAAGGTAGGGGATCGGCTGGTTGGGTACCTGAACTGAACCACTGACTTCCTGTTTGCGAAGCCAAAGGATTTGTTGGTTTTCCTCCTGTACTAACCCACTGGTTACCTGATTGTGACTGACTTCCAGTTTGTGAGGGTGGAGGATTTGCAGGTTTGCTTCCTGAATCAACCCACTGGTTACCTGATTGTGATTGACTTCCAGTTTGTGAAGGTAGAGGGCTGACTGGTTTGCTTCCTGAACTGAGCCACTGGTTACCTGACTGGGAAGTTTGAGTACTGGCTGGTTGGTTACCTGAACTGGACCACTGACTTCCTGTTTGTGAAGGCAGAGGGTCAGCAGGTTTACTTCCTGTACTAATCCACCGATAACCTGATTGTGACTGGCTTCCTGTTTGTGAAGATAGGGGATCGGCTGGTTTGGTCTCTGTTTTAGTCCACTGATAACCTGATTGAGAAGTTTGAGTATTGGTGGGTTGGTTTCCTGAACTGGACCCCTGACCTCCTGTTTGTGAAGGTAGAGGGTCGGCAGGTTTAATTCCTGTACTAACCCACAAGTAACCTGATTGTGACTGGCTTCCTGTTTGTGAAGGTAGGGGATCGGCTGGCTGGGTCTCTGTTTTAGTCCACTGGTAACCTGACTGAGAATTTTGAGTATTGGCAGGTTGGTTTCCTGAACTGGACCACTGACTTCCTGCTTGTGAAGGCAGAGGGTCAGCAGGTTTACTTCCTGTACTAACCCACCGATAACCTGATTGTGACTGGCTTCCTGTTTGTGAAGGTTGGGGATTGGCTGGTTGGGTCTCTGTTTTAGTCCACTGATAACCTGATTGAGAAGTTTGAGTATTGGTGGGTTGGTTTCCTGAACTGGACCCCTGACCTCCTGTTTGTGAAGGTAGAGGGTCGGCAGGTTTAATTCCTGTACTAACCCACAAGTAACCAGATTGTGAATGGCTTCCTGTTTGTGAAGGTAGGGGATCGGCTGGCTGGGTCTCTGTTTTAGTCCACTGGTAACCTGACTGAGAATTTTGAGTATTGTCAGGTTGGTTTCCTGAACTGGACCACTGACTTCCTGCTTGTGAAGGCAGAGGGTCAGCAGGTTTACTTCCTGTACTAACCCACCGATAACCTGATTGTGACTGGCTTCCTGTTTGTGAAGGTTGGGGATTGGCTGGTTGGGTCTCTGTTTTAGTCCACTGATAACCTGATTGAGAAGTTTGAGTATTGGTGGGTTGGTTTCCTGAACTGGACCCCTGACCTCCTGTTTGTGAAGGTAGAGGGTCGGCAGGTTTAATTCCTGTACTAACCCACAAGTAACCAGATTGTGAATGGCTTCCTGTTTGTGAAGGTAGGGGATCGGCTGGCTGGGTCTCTGTTTTAGTCCACTGGTAACCTGACTGAGAATTTTGAGTATTGTCAGGTTGGTTTCCTGAACTGGACCACTGACTTCCTGCTTGTGAAGGCAGAGGGTCAGCAGGTTTACTTCCTGTACTAACCCACCGATAACCTGATTGTGAATGGCTTCCTGTTTGTGAAGGTAGGGGATCAGCTGGTTGGGTCTCTGTTTTAGTCCACTGATAACCTGATTGAGAAGTTTGAGTATTGGTGGGTTGGTTTCCTGAACTGGACCACTGACCTCCTGTTTGTGAAGGTAGAGGGTCGGCAGGTTTACCTCCTGTACTAACCCACCAGTAACCAGATTGTGAATGGCTTCCTGTTTGTGAAGGTAGGGGATCGGCTGGTTGGGTCTCTATTTTAGTCCACTGGTAACCTGACTGAGAACTTTGAGTATTGGCAGGTTGGTTTCCTGAACTGGACCACTGACCTCCTGTTTGTGAAGGTACAGGGTCGGCAGGTTTACTTCCTGTACTAACCCACAAGTAACCAGATTGTGACTGGCTTCCTGTTTGTGAAGGTAGGGGGTCAGCTGGTTGGGCCCCTGAATTTATCCACAGGCTCCCTGACTGTGAAGGTGACAAATTTTGTTGTTTTCCTGAGCCGGACCATTGATGACCTGTCTGTGATGATGAAGGACTCTCAGGTCGAATTACAGGTGGGTTCCATTGATGATGTGCGCCTTGACCCGAGGATGTTTGGCTTGCCGAGGACTGCTGGGATGACCAAGTGTAACTACCCTGTGAATCTGGAGCACTGAATAGAGGAAGACCCTCCTGGGTTCGAGTCCACTGAGCACTCCCAGGATAGGACTGTGAAACTATCTGATGACTTGCCTGCGGAGGGTGGGTAGAAGGGTCTGGTTCTGGAGTCCACTGATTGAAGACCTTTGGTGGTGGAGGTGTAGCCAGTGAATTGGTGGAAGACCAGTCCACTTTCTTAGGATAACGAAGGTCCCGTGGATGGCGGTCAGGGTGTCTTTGGGAATTCTGCAAAAAGGTATGTGAAGATGCAGGATTTTGGGTAAAGCTTAGTGGATTCCAGTGAAGAGAGTCTGGTTGCGAAGGATTAGATCCCTTGACCATTCCTTGAGCTTTTAATCCAATGATACATGCCAACAGGGCTACTGCCATTGCAACAGCTGTCCAACTCTTCGCCATGGTGTTGCAGTTCTGACCACGCAATCCAAGTATTTCATCAATACAAACTGTCATATTTATACAGTACTGGAAGCTGCGTTTCAAAATCCAACCTCCAGGTCAAATTTGATCCAATCATGCTAAAGAGTTGTGCTTGCCAATGACTTTGTTTTTTATGTCTACAGGCTGACCCTTCCTACTAAAAAGTAGGAAGGGTCAGATAAAAAATATTTGTTTTCTCAGGTCATGTCAGTGCCACTGGACATGACAATGTGACATTTAGCACTTTGTTGACAAATTAAATGTCAAACAGTATTTATTTTTCCAACATCATTGTTTGGTCAGTACTAAAAGATTGCAATAGCCTGCCAGTTTTATTTAACCCCTGGATCCTGGATCATTGGTGAGCAATTTCCATGTTTTATGTACATCATAAAAAAAGTTTACCTACATTTCAATAGGCCAAGTGGATTCATGTGCCTTTGCATACTATAATAATAACTATAAGAATACAATTGTCTGGTCAAATTATAATGACAGAAAAGTTTACAATCATTAGCAGTATGTATGTATGTATGTATGTATGTAGCTTATTTATTCAGTCATTTTTTATTCATTTATTGCAGAGCTGGCAAGTCATACAATTGGTAAAGAGTACAGTTGACAGCATATCTATAGGCTACTTCATTTCCCATAATCCTCAGCGGCTCTGATTCACGGAGAAGCAGTGCGCGTAACAGACGCACACTTTATCCAACACCGTGAGAGCAGTCAGGGCTAGCGGTGGAGGCTTTTCTGGGTAGAAATGTCGCTGTCTCACGATCCAAGTACCAAACCCGGGAATCGGAGGAGAAGGCAAGCTGAAAACACTCAAGGTGAGCCTAATGGTAGTCAAACAGTGCAGACAAGGTTGGTCTTTCAGTTTGTATGCTTAATCTTGAACTACGACAACAGAAAACATCGCAGACTTTTTTTTTTATAATAAAATTGCCTCTTAACTTGTTTTATGCTATGATTTGGGTTTATAATTAAGCAATAGCATTTACAACATGACACATACTTAGCATAGCATATTCTAGCTTACTGGAATATTAAAAAACGCTACAAAAGTGTCTAATTTCACCAAAAGCAAAAAGAGGAACGTCGTTTGTAAGGTTTTTAAAGTGGAAGTGCTTAAATGAGTAATTTCAATATCTGGATGATATTTTTTGAGACATTTGAGATTTTGTCTTAATGAAGCTTGACAATGAACTGATGACATAATGGTACTCACGTCTGTGAGTAAAGCTAGAGAATAGACCACTGAGAATAGACGAATAGAGCTCACTGGCTAATAGAAATATTAGCCAATCATTTCCATTATTTATCTGTGAAAATAATAGACACACTTCACTTGACATCAGTAAATGCCTTCAGATAAGTCATATTTTGTATTGACTCAGGTCATAATAAAATATCCATCCATCCATCCATTTTCGTCCGCTTATCCGGGGCCGGGTCGCGGGGGCAGCAGCCTAAGCAGGGACTCCCAGACTTCCTTCACCCCAGACACGTCCTCCAGCTCCTCCGGGGGGACCCCGAGGCGTTCCCAGGCCAGCCGAGAGACATAGTCCCTCCAGCGTGGCCTGGGTCTTCCCCGTGGCCTCCTCCCGGTGGGACATGCCCGGAACACCTCCCGAGGGAGGCGCCCAGGAGGCATCCGGAACAGATGCCCGAGCCACCTCAACTGGCTCCTCTCGACGTGGAGGAGCAGCGGCTCTACTCCGAGCTCCTCCCGTGTGACTGAGCTCCTCACCCTATCTCTAAGGGAGCGCCCAGCCACCCTGTGGAGGAAACTCATTTCGAGCGCTTGTATCCGCAATCTCGTCCTTTCGGTCACTACCCAGAGCTCATGACCATAGGTGAGAGTAGGAACGAAGACTGACCGGTAAATCGAGAGCTTCGCCTTTCGACTCAGCTCCCTCTTCACCACAACGGTCTGATACAGTGACCGCATCACTGCCGAAACTGCACCGATCCGCCTGTCAATCTCACGTTCCATCCTTCCCTCACTCGTGAACAAGACCCCGAGATACTTGAACTCCTCCACATTATTATTATTATAATAAAATATAATTAGTGCTGTCATGCGATTAAAAAAATTTAGAGATTAATTAATTATGATCTGTAATTAATTAATCTAATTTTAATCTCACCTAAAAATTGCTGAGAAAAGCCTTCAATTTGAGGTATTTTCATTTAAATTCATTATTACATTATTGTGGCAGATCAAAAGACTGATATAGATTTAAAAAAGTGACTTTATAAAGTCATTTATTGTTTAACAAATCTCTCCAAATTGGCTGTTGAGCCCAAGTCTCCATGAATAAGAAACTGTTTGCTGTAAAGTAGCAAAGACGAGGAAATCTGAACATAATAACTTTTGTCTACTTAAAGACAATAAAAAGTCCAGTCTTTCCTTAACCATATTAAAAATATTATTGATAGAGAAATGCTTTATATATGAAATTACTGGTTTTAGTCCTAGTTTTAGTCCTGGTTTAGACCTGCTTTAGTCCTACTTTAGTCCTAGTTTAGTCCTGGAATGAATTAATCCTGGTTTTAGTCCTGGTGTTAGTTCTGGTTTAGTTCTGGTTTAGACCTGGTTTAGACCTGGTTTTAGTTCTGGTTTTAGTTCTGGTTTAGTCCTGGTTTAGACCTGGTTTAGACCTGGTTTAGTCCTGGACTGGACTAGTCCTGGTTTTAGTCTTGGTGTTAGTTCTGGTTTAGAGGCGCACAGGAGGAAGCGCGATTTACGCAGCGTAGCGAGAAAACACGATCCACACGTGGCGCACGGGAGCACGTCGGTGTCCGCGCAGTAACTATGGAAGGAAACGTGGTCCGCGCGTTCTCAGGTTAATGACGATGATGAAGGTGTGTGTTTGTGTTTGTGTGTGTTTGTGTTTGTGTGTGTTTGTTGTGTTTGTTTGTGTGTGTTTGTGTGCGTGTCCCCTCATGTGGCAGGTCACTATAGGACAGTAGTGCAGACATCTATGTCTATGTCTATGCAGGTTGTTTTCACCAGTGACATTTAAGTTGTAGGCGATTTTATATTTGTTATTTTCTTTTATACCTCACGTCGGGAGAAGAATTTCCAAGACACGAATGTGTTTTTACCTGTGCACTGCTGCCTCTGTTCTACTGGCTCTACGACCTCGTCCATTGTGCCTGACGCCGCCAACGTTAACATGACGTTTACGTCGCTTTTACTGCGCGCGTTCTGTGTGGGTTTCCGGCAATGAGTGGAATTACCGAAATTAAAAAAATGTATAAATGTTTTTTTGTGTGTGTGTGTGTGTTGTTGTCCCAACAACACATAAAAACAGGTTTTGTAATAAAGCAACTCGCATACAGAAATAGTAAAGTTAGAGATTAAAAATGAGATTAACGCGATTAAAAAACATAACGCGCTAAATATGACTGTAATTAATTAATCGCAATTAACGCGATAATTTGACACCCCTAAATATAATATTACATATTTTCATCCACACAGATAAAGAAAAGGAAAATTGTGTTGCAGATGAGTCCTGGGACAGTCCTCCTGCATCATCTGAACAATTGTGTCCTTCTGTAGAAACTGGCACGCCTTCTTCCCTTGCTCCACATTCAACAAAAGCCTGCAAGTGAAATTATACAGTTTGTACCAATTTGCCACCAATAAGCATGGATTTATTCTCTACATCATTTGTGCTCCCCATAAGGTCAGAGCCATTACATGTGTGATGATTGCACATGTGGTGATGAGCCCCAAAGTAAAAGAACTATCAGAGCAGAGAATGAAGTGGAGGCCAACAAACTGGTCAACAACTATAGGGTAAGTGCAGCAAATAATACATTGTAATAAATGTGTACTGCAATGTTTCGTACATGTTTACGAGTTGTTGTTTTGGTTTTATTTTTATTTTTTTTTCGGTGACAGTTTGGTTTTAGGAAATGGAAGAGCCATGTGACAGAGCGCCCATTTGAAGGCCGGTCTGATGTTGTAAAGGAGCTCTACTCGGAATTAAATGTTGTTAAACCCTATACAAGTGAAGGTACATCTCTTAAAACAAGTATACATTTAATTTATTGCTGTTAAAGGGCCTGTACCTGATTTAAAACCATGAATGAGGAATGTGTTTCAGTATGAAGTTTTTGCCCTGCACACTTACAACTTTTTGTCGCTGTCGTATTGCACCATGACACAGAAAAAACTGTCTGGGATATTGCCATGCAGTTGTTTCTAAACAATTTCCCTTATTTCTTCCCTCTGTAAGTCTTGTTACCACTCTGAAAATGGACTATGACAGAGAATCAAGTGGCGTAATGTCAGGCAGTTGTTTTTATAACTATGTGCCAGATTGAATGAAAAACAGATGACCCGATCAGTTGCTGATGATCAGTTGCTTCTATGTTAATTATTATCAGAGAAAATGCTGTGCAAAATGACTAATTATATTTTACAATGTTTTCTTATTTAGCAACTTTTACCATATAATGCATAATGTAAAGAGTGTTTATCTTAACAAGATTAGATTAAAGTTAGGTACAGGCACTTTAATTAAAACATTTTATGCAACACTCATTTGTCTGTATATTTTGTTCTGCTAGGTCATTTTATAACCTGTGGAAATATAGTTTATATCTTTCTCTTTGGCTGGTGGGTGTCTCTGGTTTATCTGCTGGTTGGCATCCTCATGTTTATCACCATTATTGGATTTTCTTATGGTAGGTATAAGTGATCTGCTGCTATATGTTAAGTACTGGTGTCAAACCTTTATTCTTCTTTTCCATTCAGGTAAACTGTGCTTCAAAATGTCCTGTTACTTTTTATGGCCATTTGGCAAGTCCATTCATCAGGTACTGTGGAGTTATGAGGGTTAATTTGTACAACGTTTTTTTTATTTTTTATTACAATGTATTTAATTGTATCATTGTTTTTTTAATATTTGCAATGAAAGTTTTAAAAAACGTTCATGATTATTCTATCTATAATGCAATATATAGAAACATCTATGCAACAAAACAAATACATTATTTTGGTTACTATAGCTGTAATAACTTTAAATAATTACCTATATGCACAACCACTTTGCAAAATCTGTAATAGTATTGTCACAATACTAAAATTTCAAACTTGATTTCAATACTAAGTAATCTTTATCTTTAGACAACATAATGTACTTTTCAACATAAAACCATAGTACCTTCTTTTATATTAACATACAGTCATATATTTCTGTAATCTCTGTTGTTTATGGTTGTTCCATAGTGGTCCATGGGCATATGCTAGTCTATGTGGTCTTGTTCTGATACAGCTCAAGATTATTCTAAAGCTATTCAAGAAAAGTTCATTTCTGTCCTGTGAATGTGACTTTTTAGTATCGATACATGCCCAAATAAGTATTTCGTTTTGATACTAGTTTTAGTATGTGATTTTTCAATTCTTTTGACAAGCTAATAGGCAAAGGTGTAAATTTGTGTTCCCCCATCCCTTACAGAAAATGTGTTGAATTGTCATTATGATAGTCAATAATAATTAAATATCATCAAAAGCATGTTATTTTTCCAGATAGGTAACACTATGAGAAGGTGCTGTAGGAATGCACCACACTGTAACTGCATCAAGGAGGAGGCAGATCCTGATTCAACATTACTGCTGCCTTCTCCAACAGAGGTGCTGCTGGAAGAGCCTCAAGAATATGTCCAAACTTCACACTGGGTATCCTTTCATATGGAATTCACTATTTATACAGAATGAAATGTAAAGTGAATTAAATGTTCCTTTATTTCATAGTGTCGTGTCTCCACATACATCTGGCTGTTGCTGGGTTACCCTCCACTGGTGCTGATCCACTGCTTGGCCTGCTTCATTTCGTGGATCCTTGTCTTCACCATCCCTGTTTCCAAAATGAATGCAAGAACTCTTGGTGTTGTACTCCTCCTACCTCCTGAAGATGTTTATGTTTCTTCTTGTTCAAGGCTAAAGGTACTGATCCATTTGTTATTAATAATAATCATTAATATCAACTGTTTAAATGTTTCATTAGCAGGCTGTTGAATCAAAAGCCCTGCTGTGCTGCTACCACGCTACAAACTGGTATTACTACAAATACACTGTGGATGGCATCAATGTGTTTGCTGTCAGCATCCTTTGACTACATAAGAAAAGAGCTCATGATTTTCTTTTCCAACTTAATGATCAACCTTGACTGAAATTTACAGATCTACTTCCTCTGGTAGTTGTTGCCATAGTGATTGGATACATTGACAAAGAAAACCAGTTTGCCAGCTCTGATGTTAAATTTGCTATAGCAGTTAGCTCTATTATACCATTGTCTTACTACATTGGCATGGGCATTGCAAGGTATGTTTGATTTTCTTAATTTTGAATCATTATGAAGGGCATTTGAATCACCTGTACATGATGTAAACCACAATGACTATTGCAGCATCTCAGCCCAGAGTAACTTTGCAGTGGGTGCTGTGGTCAATGCCACGTTTGGCTCCATCACAGAGTTGACCTTTTACATCACAGCCCTTCTGAGAGGTCACAGAGAGGCCAACCAGTGTTTACAGGAAGTAGTCAAAGCAGCAATGACTGGCACACTGCTGGGATGCATCCTCTTCATCCCGGTGAGAATACACATTTTGAAGCTATAACACTTTTAAGGGTCTTATTTTATGCTAAATGGACTCTTAATAGCTTTAAGCCATGTTGTAATGTTACCTGATCAAATTATCCCCAGAGTTGTGTTTTATTTCATTCACACGTCTATTAATCCTTTATTGTTAGTCTGTCTACATCTACATCTTTGTGATGAGTAAACAACATTAAAACATAATCAGAAAAGTAGCATAATATGGGCCATTTCAAAACAAGGAATGTGGCATTTTAGTGCAGAATGGCTAATTGAATTTACATGTTCCATTAATTTGCACACAAATAGGATATACTTTCAGACTTTGTTTACAAATGAATTGAAACTATCATACTTTATTAATAGGTTAAAAAAAATCTTGTCTTTGGTCACTGATGTGAATGGAATGTCCCTTTAGTTTCTCAACCCTCTGACTCCAATCAAACAAATGCTTATCTCTGTTTGTGACAGTGCTTTTCTTGTAGGGTATCTGTATGATAATTGGTGGCCTAAGACACAGTGAACAAAGATTCAACAGCCGCTCTACTGGAGTCAGCTCGGCGTTGCTTTTCATCTCTGTTGGCGGCAAGTCAATCTCATACATTTTTAAATCATTTTATGATTGTTTTCAGATTCTAGAATATGATTATGGGCACAATTTCACAAATGTTGTACATGTACAGTCCTACTATTTTTATACCAACCTGTACAAAAAATATTTTATTTAGTGTTTCATGAAACCCAGCCATAGCACTTGATGTAAGAAAATGTGTGATTTCTTGAGTATTCCTATTTTAATTAAATGTTTTCTGAATCCTTCCTCATTGTGATTAATTACAGGTGTTTTCACTCCCACGCTGTTCTCCAAGGCTTATGGTAACCTTGTTTGTGATGCCTGCTCAAGTGTGAATAACAGTGGACCATTTGTCTGCCATAACTGCCATTATGATCTGGTAGGCAAACATAGGAGGATTTTTATTTTGAAAAGTACGTTTTCTCAACTTTACGTTTAATACATGTTTTAATTTAACAGAACAATGGCACCTTATTTCACAACCATGTCCAGTAAGTATATTAATACTGGCATACAGGAGTGTTTGATCTTAATACATTTTTGCTGCTGTGGATTGTGTTTATTAAAAGTAATTAATCATTAGTGTTGTTACATTCCTAAAATTTAAAATTTGATTTAAATACTAAGAAATAGACTTGATACTCAATACTGATTCCTGACAATCATCAGATATTTTCACTAGCCACATGCATGTTGCTTGAATAGCATGTGTGAAAAAGACAAAATAACTTAACTGGCTCTACAGATCTAAAGAGAAAATATAACTGCACTATATGTGTTACTACTACTCACGTTAGGATGCTGGCTAGTACTAGTGTCAAGCCGTGCCTACGTTATATAATAATAAGTACATATATGGTAAAAGACAAAGTAGCATCAACTTGTGTCTTCTGATGTTTAGGCCTCTGGTGTATGCCATGTCTGCTCTTTTGCCTGCTGCCTACATCATTGGATTATTGTTTACGCTGAAGACGCATTCTCACATTTACAACATACATGTGGAGGATGGACAAGGTGTGATTATTCTTTTACCACAGTATCAAATTTGAGTGTAGTGATATCAATGAATTTCAAAGGCCTGACATTATATGACTTATGTATTTTTCACTGCAGCATCTGGCCACAGTGGAGCAGTAGTGCATTGGTCTCGCTGGAGGTCTCTGGTCATCCTCATCATGGGTACAGTGCTCATGTCCGCTTGTGCCGACTTAGCAACGGAGCACATTCAACCCATACTCAATCAGCCCAACATATCGCAGGTACTTGCTCTTCTTGACCAGTGGGTTTCTACATGAGTATAGGCATTGTATTAAACTTAAAGTGGGACTTAACACCTAAACTCCACTTACAACCACATTTCAATAGAGCTGCTATGCAGTACCTGGAGAAAAGAGTGAGGGAAGAGGAGGGGCAGGGTCTAGAGGTATAAGCATTGGTCTAACAGATACACACTTCAAGGTGTTTGTCATCTCGCTGTAATCAGGTTGTGTGATGTCACAAACTACTGGAATTTGCAGAAGCCACTACAAAGATAATGCTACTAAACCTCCATAAAGTTTACTCAAGTTTAAAATTATACACTTGTATGATTAGATAAAAATGTTCTTTGTGTGAACATTGTGCCTGCATTTTGGACTGAATTGTGTTGATGATATAGGTTGAGGTATTCCCCTATTTGGTATTTTCTATCCCACCAAACCAAGTTATAATTAGAAAAACATGAAAACTTGTCATATGCACTTTAATATCGAGTCTGTAGAGAGGATCCAAGCGTTCCATCTGCTGGACTAGATTGTACAAGAAGACCCTTATCCTTTCTTTCACTCTTGTTTCAGTACTTCATTGGAGTTACTATTCTGGCGATGGTTCCAGAGATTCCCGAGATTGTTAATGGGATTCAGTTTGCTCTTCAAAACAACATAAGCTTAAGGTAATATTACCATTATATTTTACACTTAACAAAAATGTCACACTTTAACTCAAAATTCTGTACAATTTAGTCTCGAGGTTGGGAGTTGCATTGCTGTACAGGTGTGCATGTTACAGATTCCTGTGTTGGTTTTCTTCAATGCTTTTTGGGTAAGACTATCAGTTCACATTCCTTAGTATTGTCACTAATCAGATTTAACTTAAAATTCTTCATGGGTTCTCTGTGTAGGATGTCGGCTTCGTGCTGTTATTCAGTGACCTGCACCTATGGGCCAGCATCTTCAGTGTCATTGTTGTTAATTACATTTTCATGGATGGGAAGTCAGATTATTTTCAGGGTAAGTGAGAGTCTGTCAGATAGCGGATAGTTTTCTGTATTTTATAAAGTAATATACATATCTAGTTTACATGTAATATTTGAGATAAGTGTTTTAGTGGTCCTTTAAACTGTCCATTATGTCTCTTTGAATTTTCACAGTTACAAGCATTCTCAGTAGGCATTTTTGTTGCATGTTGTAAATGACTTTATTACTTTATGAACTATGTACCCATTTTCCTTTCAGGCACTGCCTTGGTTGTAGTCTACCTCATCCTTTTGGCTTTATACTACTTTGCTCCCTCTCCAAAAGGCTGCTGAACAGGTTTTCATGTTTTTCTAATTATGACTTGGTTCGGTGGGATACCTGTGGGCCATATTTGTAATAGTTAAGTGACAGTGTGTGGAAAAAGCTAGAAAAGGACAAAAAGAGAAGTAGTGATGAGTTCTAAATCAGAATACCTCTACCTGTGTCATCAACACTGAAAATCTAATTTTAACTATTGTGCAATTTGGACAAGTTGCACAATAGTCTGCTGCTCAAGTTTGAACAGTATTATAAACTTTACCCAAATTTAAAATCTACTTTTTCTTTTTTTTGTAAAATCTATGTTTTAGTGAAACGGATAGTGTAACCTTATGCACTTTTAGATTAATTGTTATGTTTACAATAGGAGATAAGACTTATCAACTTTTTACTGCACATTTATAAGTCAATGTTGGCCTATGAAATTATGTTTTACTGCACTGTTATTTTAATGCCAATAAATTTTCCAAATGCTAAATTACATATAGTTTTTTTTCTGTCTTTCATCTGAATCTTTTATTTTCAAGAAATCCATATATTATTCTACATAATAAAAAAGGCTGCCGTTACTTTATTTGGAAAGTTAAAGTGTACATTACAGCCAAGAGCGTTCGGGGAGACCAGAGCCCCAAGTTCAAGTAACATGCACAGCAGACATGCAAACTGCTCTTTGACAGAGTGATGCAAATAAACATTAACTACAAGAAGGTAGGTCATTGTCTACAGACGAACATCAAATAGAAAAAAATGCAAACCAAAAGGCAAGATTATCAGATATATTAAAAAAAAAAAAAAAAAAAAAAAAAGGCAGTTAGGTGGTGCTGTGCAGGATGTGAAACTACAGTATGGGTGTTACAGTGCTCAGTCAAAATCTGTTCTAAAAGATACGTTAACCCATTCCAACTAAAACTGCCTCATACCTGTAAAAATAAACAATGAATTAAGATAATCCATTACAAATTTGGCTACAGATTCTAAGATAAAATAAATATAAACAGCACAGTGATAAGAATAAATAACCACAGAACATCTGTGTATTTCATATAAAAAAAAACTCCTATGAACAATCCTGGTTTAAAAAAAAAAAAAAAAAAAAAAAAAGGCTCATGGTACACTAAGTAACACATCAAAAGAAACTACAATATATCACAGATGTTAAATTAAACTCTGCCAGGACACACTTTTTGCCTTTGGACATTCGGTAAATTTAGAAGGCACCAAATGACAAAAAAATGAGAAAATAAATTAATTTCAAGCTTCATCAAGAGGCACTCCAGAATTCACAGTGATGCCATCCTTGTCCATGTACTCACGACAACAGCATGATCAGTGTTCTCTCAGTTTTTTTGCCACATGTTAAATGCAATGTCTTTCTCACCAAAATATGGAAACAAAACATGCAATAATATTTGTGCCTCAAATAAGTTTTTGATGGATAAATGTATAAAAAGCATCTTGAAAATTACACTTAAAAATATTTTTTTCTTCAAACCATGACATCATTTGACTTTTTCACATACATGGAGTTTAGGTAAAAAAATATTGGTCCTTTTAAAATCTTTTCACGTACCGGCCTGCTCAGTCTGTGCTTCTATTTGAGCCTCTGGATGAGTGAGTGTGTCAGGCCCAGGCTCAGCAGCTGCAGAGTGGACAGCTGCGCTAAGTGAGGGAATGTTTTCAGCAGCTTCTCCCAGGTCACTTCCAACAGGCTCGGCACCACCAACCACAGTTTGTACAAAGAGCTAGTCCTTCGGTTTCCTGACATGTTGATGACCCCTCCATGGATATACATGCAGCCAGCCTAGAGAACAAAAGTACAAACTTTAGAGTGTCCACAGAATTTGGAAACTTTCTGCTCAAGTAAAGGTTTTCTTGACCCCATGGTGTCGAACAACACAGGAGTTTACTTTACAGTGCGGGGGCAATAAGTAAAATAGCAAGTTCATATTCTTTCCTCAAAAATATTATTTGATAAGATGTCCCCAAACGTTGCATTATGTTCCGTCAGTTGGAGGATTAGTCTCTAGTAGGCATGGGACATGGGACGACCATCATGGCCAATATAATTGCATAGTTAAACAATAAAATCTAATTATTACAATCGTTGAAAATGTAAACGGGTAGAAGATGTTAATAACTCAAATTTTAATATTACTGAATAAGTTTCATGTTCAACTAGCACTTCTTGTACAATCTGGGGTGTAAAGGCAATCAATCATCTTGGTGATTATACAACGTGTACCTTTAAACAATTATGGTCTACAGCTAAATTTGTTATCATCCCATTCCTAGCCCCAAGTTTGTTAGATCATACATATTTGCTGTGAATGTTGGCATCAGGTGTGCATTTTCCTACTTACTGGAGTCACTGCTGCACAATGAAAGTACGCTGGCTCTGGCATCAAAGCAGGGAGCTTGGTCCACTCACACGTTCGCAGGTTGATTTTCCAGAGGTCAGACAGGATCATCTCTCCGTTATAACCTCCACATATAAAAACCTCTAAAATGCAAAAGTGTTGACAGGTGCGGTAGGTTTAGTGAACATGTAGAAGAGACTATAAAAATCTCACCGTTTTTGACCTGAACACAGCTGTGACATCGGCGAGCAGTGGGAAATCCTATTGTAATAATACATACACATTGAAATTAATCTATATGGTCCCTGATTTGTTACTCTTAAACAAGCAACAATGCATACCTATTTTCTCATGAGGTTTGGTTGCAATCTCCTCCCAGTAATTTGTCTCCAAGTTATAAGCATGAATCTAAAAAAAGAAATTTAATTAAGTTATTGTTCATTATTGCATGTTCAACGATGATTCCTGTTACCTTGTCCAGCGGGTATGATGTCCATGAAGTCCCTCCACCCAAGACGTATATCCTCTGTCCATCATGAGCTAGTTCATGTCTGTATCTGTATGAAAAGATCCACTGTATTACTGCATTTTCTCCAATGGCACACCCTGTTTGATGTGAGAAGAGCTTGCATTACCAACCTTTCTTCTGGTAGGTCTGAGGGAGTGTTATTTGGTTTGAGGTGGGTCCACTCTCTGGTGGACAGGTCCAGCCTGTGCAGATCTGTGCTGTACAGATAACCCGTAGTTCCTCCAAACACATAGAGATAACCGTTCACAATTATCATGGCCTGAGGAACAAGCACAATATGAGTCAACTATGATGGTATGTACTGACACATGAAACACCTGATGGTTACCTGTCCGTAGATCTTGTTGGGCTTCTTCCCTCTGCAGTTAAGAAGGTTCCATCGTTTGTAGTGGACATTGCAAACATGGACATCATTGCCATTATTTTCACCAAAGGGAATGCCAGTCCCACCAAACACGAGAAGGTTGTTGCCATGCATGACAGCTGTATTAAAAAGCGTTGCATTTATTTAGTCATTGCTTTTTGCCATGTGAAGCCCTTTAGCTGTCCCAGCCCCAGCTGTCTGCCAGTAATTTAAGGTTATCAATTTAGCTGGGACTGGAAGTAGCGTTCATATAAAATGTCAGCATGACAAAATTTAAGGACATTCATAGCAGACATAAATACCGGACATAGATGCTAGCTCTGTGGGCATGTAACCCTCTGTGCGGACTTGCTGCCAGGTGCCAGTTGCAAAGTGAAACCTCCAAAGTTCTCTAAAGAGGGGGTAATCTTCATTTTCCGAACCCCCAGCCTCCTCAAAGTCTGGGTTATAGCCACCAAACACATAAAGGTTAGTGTTGTCTGCAACACAGCGATGCCCACTCCTGGCAGGAGGTACAAACTGCCCTGTAAGGAAAAAATGGGGTGCTTACTTGCTACAATTTTCACAAACAGAAGTGTGCCAATAATACCTTCTCTTAAAAATCTGTTTGGGATTCTTAGGTTAGGACATGAAGGGGAAAAAAGGCGTCGAGCCTGGAGCCACCGTGCACGCTTTTTGGAACCTGTAAAAACATTATCGTTCAGTCACTGGGTCAAAAAATCATTAACACTGGCCTCATGAGGACAATACCCGGTGCAATGAGGACAGGGACGAGCAGGGCGCATAGCAGCCCACATTCAGCAATCACAAATTAACTTCTACCTTTACATAATTTGCAGAAATTATTACATACGAATAACGGCGTAGAACAGCACTAAACATAGCATGTAGTACGACCCTAGCCTCTTTAAAATTACTGAGGGCTTCCTTAGCCGTGTTAGCTAGCCTCTGCGTCCTCTGGCGGTACACACAACTAGCATAAACTTAAAAATTAAAGGTAATGTTACAGTAACGACACACTAACAATAACTACAATAGGCAGCATAGACTGCATTATATATATATAAAAAAAACCCGCACTCGCATTATGGATTGTATGCAAGGATTTGCAGAGAGATGCTTTTGTTTACAAACCTGAATCTCTGATGGAGGGCCTCCATGACAGTTTTTCAAACTTATTGAGCAAACTAGATGTTGAATTTTGCTCAGCTGAAGACATTTCCAGACGAGGAGACTCGCAGGTGGCTCACAGCGCTAACAGTTCGGTCTGACAAAGAACTGGAACATGCACGGCGTCAGACCCAAACCTAAAGAACCCACTCCGAAGTGCCCACACCTGCACTGTGAGCACTGTGCGCACTGCGCGTCACAGCCAAATGTGCTCTGCGCCCAATCAGCGGCCACCGGGCGCATGCTGCGTTCAGGACCGCAATTCACAGGGGGATCTTACAGTTTTATCAAACAAATATAAACTAACGTCACATACATGATTAATATGTAATTTCAGCATAGGGGAAAAATGTGTTAAACAGCCTAAATGAACCTAAACAGGCCTACAGACACAGGGCTGTCATGATGACCATGTCTTTACAATGTAGGCCCTAAGACTCTTGAACCTTGATGATCATGTTTTCTCAGGAAATGTGGAATCTGCACAATTTACATAGCACGAATAAAGCAGATCTGCACCTTTGAGTTTCAATGTGTTGCCTTCGGGCCATAACACAAATATAGCTTACATATAAGACATTTAGTCCAATAGGCTACATCAGACGTGTCCTCCAGAACAGGGCCTTGAAGGAGAAAATCTGGGGACATCTGACTGAGTGGGGCTGTTTAAGCCTCACCTGTTGGCTTCTATTAAATGTCAAAAAGTGTCAAATGGCAGGAGACATACTGGATGCTAACTTGATCTAGGATTCACAGATAGTATTCACAGAATACTAGTCTATAGACTAGTAAGCATAACCTCATTTGTTTATGGAGATTTTTTTCTGGTAAACCCTTTGGAGACCTGGACCAGTAGTGGACCTGTTTGGGACTGTGGTCATCCGATGTAGTTGATCATCTGTCTGTGAATAGACTCAGGGGTCTGTCCTGGAGTAAAAGGCCAAAGGGATTGTAAGAATGTAGGTTTGACGAGGATTATGGGTCTTTGAAGAGTATTACTTTGCATTCCAAGATTTGTATAATTGTATCATATCAAAATAAAAGTGTTTTAGATAGACCAATACTATGAATAATAGCTAGCGTAGCCTACCTAGCCTTAGGTCTGCTGATGTAACTCTGAGAGTATTAGCTACGCCCACAGCCTGGGTGAAAATAGGTTAAATGATCATAATTCACAAACTTTCCAGGCTGACAATTAATACAGTGTAACACATTTGAGCTCTAAATAGTACACAGGCTTCATAAAAGTAAGAGCTTTGCAAGCACTTGATAAGAAAATTATAGCCTGTAGTTCACCAGAGTATGGCTCACTAAACAATCTAGATTAGCAGGGCATTTGATTTTTGTTGTCTGGGCAGGTCGAATGTGAAATAAAGTGAAAGAAACTGATCTGGTTCTGGTCATCTGATCTGGTTTGAATTCTGATTTCGTTCTGATTTTGTGGTGTTCGTTGAAAGCTCCTGGTGAAGAGGGCAGCTGCTCTCTCTCTCTCTCTCTGTGTGTGTGTGTGTGTGTGTGTGTGTGTGTGTGTGTGTGTGTGTGTGTGTGTGTGTGTGTGTGTGTGTGTGTGTGTGTGTGTGTGTGTGTGTGTGTGTGTGTGTGTGTGTGTAAGTGTGCGTGTGTGTAAGTGTGCGTGTGTGTAAGTGTGTGTGTGTGTAAGTGTGTGTGTGTGTAAGTGTGTGTGTGTGTGTGTGTGTGTGTACATTTGTAGAGGCAGCCCCTCCTCTGCTCTACTCGGGCTGCTGAGCTGGATGTCACAGCAGCACAGTCTTCAGGACAGCCCTAGGTGGAGGTGGTCAGGGGAGCACAAAGTAGGCGATGTTAAAGCTGGGGTTTTGTCCTCGCACAGCGTGGGGAGACAGTTGATACAGTCCGTGCGAACTGTACATTTTGCCAGCTGAAGGATCGAGAGTCAATCCGCCGCAGTATTTTTAGATCACTTCTGAAAGGAATACAAAAATGTCGTCCCCAAGTCCAGGCAAGAGGCGAATGGATACCGACGTGGTGAAACTGTATCCTTCTCAGACCATAAACAAGCTGAAATGCCTAGCAAAATCGACAGTCTTTTGTAATGGTGTTTTGTCAGCTGTTCTGTGCAGTACCAGTATCTTTTCCGACTACTTTTTTCATGAATGTTTTTTTTTTTTAAACTAAAGGCTATTGTAAGATTAACAGATTCTGCGAGAAAGTGTTTGTGTAACCCTGAATACCTAGTTTTTAACACTAGGTGGGTTTGTGTTTAACCTTTGGCTTGTTTGATGATCGCTTTCTGTCGAGTTTCAGGAGGAACCTACATTATCACTGTATTTAAACTAAGTTACGATAGCATGAGTTAGCTCTCTCATTTACACACAACACTTGTTTGTATGGTTGCAGAATTGTCCAACTCGAAATGACGCTATTAAACAGGCTAATAACTGTTAGCTTTGAACATTAGCCTTAGCCTGGCAGAGGTAGTTTGTTAGCTTCTGTGCTCGTTTTTGTGGTTATACAGGACTGACAACACAAAGGCTGCACTGCTCATCGGATGTCTTGAAATATGTCCCGACGTTTTGCTAAATGTGGATTATTTTCAGATTAACATTAACAGGCTAGTTGCTTTAGCACGCTAACGCCAGTAGACAACAAATATAGCTGAGGTAGCTTTAGCACAGGCAGTTTTTTTTTTCTTTTTTAAGAAACAGCAACTATTACATTTAACAGAAACCCTGCCTTAGTGTAAATTTGTATGCTGCGTTTATTCTCATGGGAATTTGTAGTTCTTCTAAAATACAAAGCGTGCAATTTATCCCCCTTGGCAAGCACCTTTTGTTTTTTCGAAGACATTTATCTAACATTAACGACGTTATCTTTTAACACCAACTTTATAATTTACCAAAGATTTATTAGGCCTACAAGGTGAATCTCAATGGATTTTTTTTTTTTTTTTTTGAATACTTGCACATTTTAATGCTTAATGATCCCCTTAAGACTTTTCGAAACCCAACAAATTTACCCCCATATAAAACAACACGTGCAGACTTAACAGTAACCTTTATTCCTATTTAACTTGATTTTCAGGTTTGCTAGTTGAAGTTCAGAAAACGGGGTTTTGTGACAGCGTGAGGTGAATTGTTTTGTTTTTGTCCTGCAGCTAGACGCCGTGCTCCGATTGGCCAGGCTGTTACCATCCGGAACAGGGCGCAGGGCGGAGCTTCGCACACAGCTGATCTGAACAACAAGCGTGCTGTAGGGCCACATGAAGAGATGGGGGCAGGGAGCATTTAGTGCAAGCAGGGACAGGGCCAACCACGCACTCAAGCCGTTCAGAGACAGGCCCAACTACATGTTTACCACCCCAATACCATCACCGTAACTATCGCAACAGTCCCTAATGTTCATACAAACCAGAGGGTATTGTTCTTTTTTCTTAATAGCGATGTAGCAAACACGCTTAGCGTTCAAAGTACATTTATATCCAAGGGCACATCGCAGTGAAAGGGTTTTGTCCAAAGAAAGGTTGCATTACTCTTGAGTGAGCATATGCACTCAATAATAACCCCTGGGGAATGGCATGAAAGAGGGATGTACATTTGTGTGTGAGCTGACTTCTGTAAGAATAATTTGTACTATCCACCAGAGTTTCAAGTTTGGTGATTTAAAAACTTTGTCATAAGTGTATGATGAGAATATTTTGTGTTGAAACACGGACTCAGATACTTGTGTTTTTTTGCGCATGTGTTTTTACCATCTGTCAAAGTGTGACATTCACATAGTGCTGGGATCTGCTATAGCTCTGTCGCTGTCAGAGTTGACTCAATCTTGTGCTTCCTGCTGTCAACACGCTGTGGTTATGACACATCTTCTCCACCCAAGTCATCAGGCCTGCAGCTCTGTTACACCTGCAACCTGTTCAGTGACCAGACATCAGACAGAATCTATGCTATTTCAATAGCCACATTTACTTATTACTCCGTTGCATGCTGTTTTTTGTGATACAGCTTGTCTTGTAGTGCATGGCTAATTAGTTGAGACCAAAGATAAATATTTAACTGTTGACACTTCTAACAGTCTTACCTGATGTCTTTAACATTGATCCACTGTGTCAAGACCTCACTAGCTCAGAGAATACAATGCTTTAGTACAAATCTCATTGTTGGTCAGTAGTTCTAAAAAAAAAATAATGTTTTTACCTCTAGTCTTATAAAGATGTGTTATTCCTTACCAGTTGTTATTACATACGATTATAGTCATTGTGAATTATGGTATTCCTAAGCCTTTTAAACAAATAAAATAACAAAACTCTGTGAATGTGAATTATAATATGATGTTTAGTGTTTATCCAGCCCACTTCTCCTTGACCCCTTTTCAGTATTGAAAGCCAGCATGAGGTCACCATCCTCAGTGGACTCAACGAGTTTGTGGTCAAGTTCCATGGACCAAAAGGAAGTGAGTTACATACATTTGAAATTAAAACATGTAATCTTATCTTAATGATTTGAATCCATGTTGATTTTGTGTATTTTCCTGAATAATTTCAGCCCCATATGAAGGTGGTGTGTGGAAAGTTCGGGTAGACTTGCCAGATAAATATCCTTTCAAATCACCATCCATAGGTATTTTCTTTTTGCTACATAAATATTTTAATGTTGCTTTAATTTAAATATGCTATGATCTTTCCAACTTAAAAGCAAATAATTGTTTGCTATTACAGGATTTATGAACAAAATATTTCACCCAAACATTGATGAAGCGTAAGTATACATTAGTTTCACATTTGCTCTGGGATATTCATCTACTGAATGTTTTTTTATTTTTTATTTACAGATCAGGAACAGTTTGTCTAGATGTTATAAATCAGACATGGACAGCTCTCTACGGTAGGCCACTTTGTTTTGTTCATAATGGAACACAAAGGATATTACTGTTGTGTTGGTGTCATACTGAAGGGGTCTGGGATGTAAACGTAATCCCAATTATGTCATCTTTTTATGTATCGTGTAGAGGGTGAAAATGATTTACAGCGGTACTTTTTGTAGAGTGTCGTTAGATATGCCTAGCTAGTCATGTCCAATGACAAATGATACTTTAAGTTTACACTGTAATGTGTAAACTTCTGTTGTTATGAACAGGCCTAAACTATTATGTTTTACTTTTTATTTGAGGTGTAAAATGAGATAAGGCTAGTTGGTCACAAATATTTTTGAAGGTACTGCTACTGTTAACCTAAACCATTTTCCTAACCTTAAACATAACCCATTTCCTATAACCCTGTTCCTAAACTTTATCATTTTGACTGTCCAAAGCAGTCACTTTAGCTTTAACCGTTTGGAATGTACATTTTTCCTTTATCTTTTGGCATTTATGTCTGAACGGTAGAGACCTCTAGTGGACAGTCTGGGCACTACCTCACTCATAAATGAGGCGGAGTAGGAACTGTTTTTTAGGCTATATATATATATATATATATATATATATATATATATATATATATATATATATATATATATATATATATATATATATATATATATATATATATATATATATATATATATATATATATATATATATTATATATAAAATCTCATATGATATGATCATAACTTGTTCTACACTGATTTTCTTTAGATCTCACCAACATCTTTGACATGTTCCTGCCTCAGCTGTTGGCTTATCCCAACCCCATAGATCCTTTAAACGGAGACGCAGCAGCCTTGTACCTGCACAAGCCGGAGGATTACAAGCACAAAATCAAAGGTAGTAACACAGAGAACTATTATTACAGTACTTAAATATATGCTGTTGAAGTAGTCCATGTGTAAGTCACTGTGTAAGTCACTGTGTGTGTGTGTGTGTTTCAGAATACATCCAGAAGTACGCTACAGAGGAGGCCCTAAAGGAGCAGGAGGAAGAGGGCGGAGACTCTTCGTCTGAGAGCTCCATGTCAGACTTTTCTGAGGATGAGGCTCAGGATATGGAGTTGTAGTGAATGGGGAGAGCCTGTCTCCTTCAACAGACTGGAGCAGATACTCAGTACTATATTCATATTTAAGACTATTTTTACACCAACAGGAGGATAATTTTTATGCCTTCATAAGGATTTGCAGTATGCTATTGCGAAATACTCTTTAGGAACTCATGACCACTCACTCCCTGCCCCTGTTTCCTTTGAGAGCCTGCTTAGATCAGAATGGAGCCATTCATGTCCACCATGTTGTGTGGCTTGGGCCTTGTTCAGGCTTTCATACTGCACCAGCAGTGGGACTGTGCCACTGACACACAACGGACTGTTTACACTCATTTGGATTCACAAGCCACTCTCACTGCCTCCTCTGTTCAACATGTCGACAGGATTTCTTATTCAGTCCTGCAGAGAACTGCAGGATGACAATCTTCTGTTTTCTTCAGTGCTGCCTGCTGTAAAATAACCAAGGAACATTACTGTTATTTCACCACATTTCCCCAAGAATGTTCTGTTGGAAGGCTATATGAATTATCACTTGTGAGGAGACAGCCACAGTGCAGCCTAACCCATGCAATGTTTTAGTTGCTTCTCTGACACCATACCCATGACACCGCAGTGTGATACATGAATGAAATTCAGGGAGAATCATGTTGCTAAGCATCAGTGTTGAAGTCATGCTTTGTTCAGACATTCAACAGCCATCTCCTCTCCTTCCTCTGCGTTAAAATTATCTCATTTAGAGTATCTTTGTATATTGTGGCATGACCCAGAAGTGAAGTTGTGTAGGCACTGTGGACGTGGGGAGGACACCTATGAGCAGGGCTGTGTTGAACCATTATTCTAAACTTTGCCTATTGCCTGTGTTGAACTATATAGGTGTTTAACTAGTAGGGATAGTTAGTTCTTTTTGCAGGTGGTGAGTCAAAATCCATGGTTTAATACTTAATATGATGTTCTAATTGAAAATGTCCTGTAAAGACATTCATCCCTCTTTTGCTTGTGGGATGACTTTGCTAACTGAAACCCTCCAAAGACCCCTGATATGCAAATATGCAGCCATCTTCATCAGTCGGACAGAAGTGCTCTTTGTTTCTATGTTGTAGCAGTTTTGTACATACTGTTAGCGCCTGTTGCTTTCTAAATGGTGGGACCAAACTCTGGACTGTTTTGATAATGTCAGAATCCTACTAACAGTGGCTTTGAATGAGGACCACAGTCTGTTCCTCTCACTACACTGGCATTTGGAATTCATTTTGTTATTTTTTTTATTTCAAGACAATACAACATAGCTCTATATGTTTTTTTAGTTTCCCGATTTTGGTGGATGTGTCCCACACTGAAAAAGTGGAGGTAACAAATAAATGTTTACTGGTCAGTTTGGTCATGTCTGACAATTAGCAGGTTGAAATTTTGTAAGTGCAATGAGCATAAACTCATTGCATTATCAATACTTTAGTGTTATATTATTTCTTTGAGATAGTAAAGAATTTTAGTTTATTATCCTGAAAGTATTGCGTTATGTTTGGATACATAAAACTAATTTCAATATGAAACCCTTTACAATTGTTAATGGTATCTTCCATGATGACTGATTAAAATGTGTCAGTTTTGATTAAAAATATGTCAGCTTTGACATGACTTGAATTAGTTGATCTTGTTCAAAGGATTTTTTTTATTTATTTTTTTATCCCCAAATAGTCAAATATTTTCTGGACAACTGGATGTCCCATTTATCTTTCCTTTAACAAAATTGTATTTTACATAAAAGAATGTGTCTCATCAGTTTGTCTATAACAATCTGGGTTTATCATTGCATATTTTTTATTAATCATTTGATGCCTTTAATTAGTAGGAATGTTTTATCATCTAATCCCCATGTCCCAGATAGAAGACAAGACATCCATGATTTTTATGGCAAAAACATAAATAAATGTGCTTCCCTTGTAACTTTAAGAAGTAAATAAAATATTGTCAATGTTGTGAGTTTTCAGTTTTTAAATCGTGAAATTTGTTTAAATAAATGTATAAATTATTTAGAGATTCTACTGAAAGAAGCCACTGAAACATGTTACCCTCAGTGGATGCACAGCCTTACATGTACTCAACTTGATTGGACTCAGTTGTCCAATAATGTCATTTGTTGACCCATCTATTATTCAAATTACACAGATAGTCTCTGTACTTGAATTTTTAGAATGTAACGCACAATATAAAATATACGACTTCATAAATGTACGACTTCATAAATAAACCCAACTGCATCATTTTATACATCAAAGAGCTGCATTTCTCTTATGTGTCCGCTAGATGGTAGTGTGGCTTCTTTTCCTGCAAAAGAAAAGTGGTCTACTCAAAATTCAAAACTAAATATGTGACTCTTTGGAAATATATTGCAGTATAACAGCTGAAATATATTGATACTTTAGTGTTTTTAAGGAATGAAGCCAATCAACACATTCTGAACACTCTGCACGATTATAAAGTCATGATATAACCAAATTAATCACATGGGTTCCTTTCTGCAACTTTTGCTATGAATGAACGCGTAAAAACAGGCCTGGGAAGGTCACATGATCTTCCGCGCGCTGACACGATGACGCCCTTTAACTGAGAGTATGATCATCTAATAAATTATTCACGTGCGTGTGGTGTGCATCGTCTCTCTGGCTGCCTTCGGGGTTCTAGTTTCACCGGATTAATTTGGCCTTGGTTGGACAGAAAGCAACGGGAGCACATAGACCGCATAATGAAGAATAGATACAAGCAAATAAAATACCTTGTTTTTAGTTGGGTGAGTGGGCATCCTATGTGACACTTTTCTTTTCTTTCTTTTTTTTTTAAATCTTAACTGCATTGGAGATACTAGGAATGCGTCATAGCGCGCTCTTCCAGTAATTAGCTCTTGGAAGCAGTGCGCGCCAGGTGAGGAGTAGTGAAGTTATTTGACGGTAAGTGGAGGAGAGGAGACGCTATAGTGACCGGCTGCGCCTCCTTCATAATGCATACCCCCGGACAATGGGTTCACCGGCAACTTTGGTAACCCCAAACCAGTCTTTCCCACTTGGGCGAACTCCTATCAACTGAAAAATGATGATGCGTCTTTTTCCACCTGCAATCTGTCTAATAGAAGCCGGCAGCAGGTAAATGAGACCACGAAGGATCTGCACAGGACTATAAAGCTAGGGGTTCAAGAGGCTTGGAGTAGTAGCGTTGGGGAAGTTTGTCCCCAGCGGAGACGGACAGAGGAGAATTGCAGCGAGATGCCCTGCCACGCCCGGGATGGGGATGCTAGTAAGTAACACAAACACATTTTACTTTTATCTTAGGTTTGTTATTTGAAGTTGCTCTATCGTGTTATTTGGAGAAGGAATTTTGTGTGTTCATGTGCATGCGTAAAACAAAATTTTTTCTATCTATTTTCCTTCAAAGATGTTTTAAGTGGCCTGTATGCCTACATTATAATTACAAACACTTGTGCAGGTCTATTCTTGGGGGGAATGTAGGCTAAAAATCGTTATTTTATCATATTTTGGCTTTTTCAAACAAAATAAAAACTAGTAATAGAAGTCTATAGGCCTACATATGTAAACGAAAACAATAAGTTGTAATTTGTTGCGAAAACAAGTGTTTTCTTCATGTCTGGACTATTATCGAGTAAGTTTAGGGTTACGTCTTCCCAATCATTGTCCAAGTTACCAAGCCTTTGCGCAGCCGCGTAGTGCATCCTGTGCGTAAAAGCGCAGCGGACACTGTGCTGTGCGCACTGTCCCGGACCGGCCTGGTAAAGTGTGAGGACAAGAGGGGGAGAGAAGGAGGAGGGGTGCCATGGATTACTATTCTGCCAGTGGGTTAAGATGCTTACCAACTAATTACTTGTCCAGTAAAATCCCTGGCTGTACATGCAGACCAAACAAGAGAAGAAATGGCGAAGAGACGCACACCAAGGTAGACAAAATATGCTCGTTTTCATTCATACCATTTATTCGTAGACTACACTAGCGCATTGTTATTTTAGTTCAGTGATTGAACGTGTTTTTAATCCCGCTATTTAAAAGGATGGATCACGTACACGTTTGACATTTTTGTATTACCAGATTTGTAAAAAATGTTTAGTATAGTTCAGGATAGTAACCCAACTTAAGTCATAATTTCTATGATAAAAGCTTAGTATTAGTTTTTTGTTTGTTTTGTTTTGTTTTTGCTTTTTTACCAATACATTAATTGATTGAAAAGTTTGCTTTCCATCATAGTGAAGCAGATTTTTCAATGATTAACTTGATGCTTAACTAATTTAATGTTAAAAACCAAAAGCATGCATTTGTCTGAAGTAGCTTTGGGCTTATTATTGCCAGCCTCTCCGCTTCTTCTCCTGAGCTTTTTACTGTATTGATCTCTCCCGGAAACAGGGAAGATGAGCCCTGCTTTGGGACCCATTTGGAGCATCTCAAAAATCACTTAGCGCATCATTCCCCCACCAGCCAGAATCAATCTATGCACAAGGGCTGCTCCTCCACCAGGGTTAGGACGGGTGGCTACAACCAATCTCCTAAACACTGTCAAAACTTTTGGCCATAGAATGAAAGGACAAGCTGTGCCGAAGATTACACAGTTGGATTTGTTTTTTGGTGACAGGACACAGGGAAATGGACACTGTGGACAATACCCAAGAAAATAGAATTGATATTCTACGTTAAGTACTCTGTAAAAAAAAAAAAAAAAAAAAAAACTGTACAGAATGCTAAGTAAGTTGTAAGTCATTTATTATTATTTTACTGGAATCCCTTCCTGTCTCAACCGACATTTTTTAAAGATAGCTACAGTTGATATGGTTTAAGTGTCTTGCACAGTGCCACAATAACAAAATGCTCTGGGTGACTGAAATTAAACCAAATCTCTCAAATTATAGTATATCTGTAATATGGTGAAATGTTTTAGTTTGTTTGTTTCTTCATACATAAAAAATAATGTATTAAGAAACATATTTTTTGGTTGCTATAAAGTAAAATGATAACTGTATTTTTGCATATCTATTGTATATTATAGTAAATGGCAGTCCAACATTCTCCTCCTGTTCTGTGTATGGCACTGGTAGAATTCACTGTCACGGCACTCTCTCAGTGAATTACCAAAGGGCCATAAACAGAGTAGAGACTGTTCCACAATGCCCAACTGCCCAATATGCCCCAAATATGTCCACATCTCCTCCTCCACCTATCTTAACCCACTGATGTCATCGTCTTTGCCCAGTTTGGCACTAGCACATTTTTGCTTTGTTGTCCTCCACTTTGAGCAATCATGTGTAGTGCCAATATGGGACAGGACTCTCTCTCTGCTTCAGATCTATATCACACTCTGCATTGTATGTTATCTATCTTGGGATTTGAAATGCGATCTATGGTACCGGTCCGTCTCGGATGTGCAGCGGTTGCCATGGAAGCGGGATGCTATAGGTAACGCGATCCGGGTAGTGAACTCTCCATTGGTCTTTGGCAATGGTAGAACTCACTTCGGTGGGCTGAGAGGATCCGGTGGTTCTAGACTTGCCAACAACTGACAGAGAGAACCAACCACAGTGTTAGCATCCAATACAACATTTTCTTAAGGTTAATTTTGGTGAAATTTTTTACTTCAGCGCTGCCAATTCAACCTAGACCATTGCACCTGACAGGAGCTATGGGCAACCGCAGTGCATCTTGGTCAGGAGTACCTAGCTGGAGGATTAGCCTATGATACATGCTTGAAGTTGAAGGGGGAAACTGGACTACCCTGTTGGAACTCGCTACAAATGTGAACATGCTAGTTCCATACAAACGTCCAACCTAGTGAGTGACTGCAAGAAGAACAGCGAGGGGTCCAATATTACAAATCTCCTCCTTTGACTTCTTGCAGTTTCAGAGCACCAATGCATCGCCATTTTGGAGAAACCTGAGATGGAAGAAGAGGATTTGTATCATATTAGATGTTGAAAGGATATGGCCCAAAGGAAACTCCACACTTGGTCGTAAATCTATATCCACTCCATTAGGCTTTAGGTTGACCATCACTCTTCTTGGTCAATAAATCAATCAGGATTTGGTGGTCAACTTGCTGGTTTAGTCGCATTCATGAGCTGTCAGGAAAAGAAGCTGACATGATCAAAAACACATAGGGCAATTGATAGTGTTTTTAAACTGCTAGTATGTGGATACTGGGCCAATGATTTCCACAAAATAATTTATTTTGGGTGTGTGTTTTGGGTTTTGTGGGTTTTGTCACAATTGTCACCTAACAGCCATTTGCACATACAGTATGCATTTTTTATGTTTATTCCAGCTGTTTTTGTGTCCTTTGGCAAGACATTTCACCTACGTGGCTCCTCCCAGTCACAGTATGTATTTGGTTGCAATGGAGAGGTCACCAGTATTAAATATCAATAGCAATGAAATTAAATTGCAATGTCTTATTATGTTGAAAAACTGCAAAACCTATAATAAACAGGCCTACAAAAGTTTGATGACGTATCTATACTGGTAACACTTTATAATAACTACACTTTTAATAGTCTTAAGAAAGTTTGGACTTAATTCATAATGAACAAATAGTTATATAGTAATAGTTAATTAAGAACTATTCAGAAACATTGTTTGTTCATTTTGAATACATTTTATATAATAAAAAAATAGGCCTATCTTTTTCAGAATAGTAAAGGATAAAGTTCATCAGGGCCTTTTGTCCTTTGAATTCTGCAGCATTTACGAAAGAGCTCCAATTCCCATCTCTATTTATATCATGCACTCTTGATAGGATTCCTGTGTCTAATGCGTTCATCATATTTCGGCGTTAACAGCGTGAGAGTGCATTACGGCGCAGTGCAGACAATGCCAGGTTAAGTGCTGCCTCGGACAGCTGGTATCAGTGATTAGGGCCTGTACCAAGAG